GGTCGCTCGATCCTGCTATAGGTCTTCAAGTCGCGTGAACGTGCCTATTGGAAATGTCGATAAAGGTTCAGTGACATTCGTTGGCGAACGTTCACCCGCTAACGCTTGCTACACTCTGTTATTTGTTCAGTGGCGCTTTTAGTTCCTGGAACTTTGCTCTTTTGCTCGTACAACGCGAATGTTTGTCGTCTATGGTCGTTTGATAAATATCCTTAGATTATGTTTCATAGAAAAATAGGATATCGAAGCGTGGATCTAGAGTACGAATAACGTCGAGATTATATAGGCCGAAGAATATCGTCAAAGTACCATATATTATCAGTCAACGGGATGTAAATAATTCGTACAAAAGGTAGTAGGATTGAGGTGATAGGTCGTGACAGTGATAGGAAGAAATACTTGAGTATATTTAATAATATATATGTCGGAGAAGCGTCAGCAATAGGGTTGTGGGCGTTTGCTAGATCTTCATTGGAATTGGCCATCGCTGTGTTATAACGACGGTACGGCCTGGTAATACGAGTATGGATACTACCGATTCGACGATCAACCTCGGTGGTTGGGCACTGGCGATACTAGTGACGTTGGTCTTTGGTTCCATAACGAATCCACGGTCAACGGGAGGATAGATATACTTGCTCACACAATACTCACAGATCGTAACGAATTTTCGTCCCGATGGAAACTATGCCACCGAGGAAAACTATGATGGGGTGTGCCTAAAGACACGAGGTCATCGAATTCGTCGAGTATAGCCCTCGTTCCGAAAGTAAGGGAAATTGACGTCGCTGTCAATTGGTCAATTTGGGACAAAGACTGCCCGTCCGTTTGAAAAATCTTAATTACCAAAGAAACCCAGGTTTTATAGCGGGTCCACGGGCTAACTAAACTTGTGCTGTGTAAGTGCCTCAATATCTGTATTCATTGTCCGAAGGAAACGTTGGAATGTTTTACTATCAGTTACCTCTATGGGTATTTCTTTTAACGAGGGTCATACTATCGCTCCATACCTTTGTTAGATGAAGAGCCCGTCCCGTTGACCGCGGCTACGTTCGGCGGCTGATAGTCGCCTTGAGCCCAAGTTTATCACAAATCGCAAACAAGTAGAATTGGGTAGAACGAAGACAAATTGTTTAAATACAACTGTAAACTTTACAGATTTTCCCAAGGTTGGCAAAAACCCCAATACCCTAGTCCAGACTTTTACTATAGCTACACTTAAGTAATAAAAATAAGAAATAGTTGTAATGTTCTAATCCGATTTTACGACGATGTGCCTGGGCTCAAACTGACATAACGGGTCACTGAACGTAGCCACGGTCAAGGGAGGGACGTGCACCTGACACAGGTATGGAATAATTATATAGCTCTCCTTAAAAATAAAGAGAGGCGGGGAGAAGAATATCTAAGGGCAGTTCCACTTGGACCGCATGTCAGTTCATGCAGATAACATTTACTTGTAAGTTTTACTTTGTACGTTTACTTGTGTTGTGTTATACGTCTATCTCATCGCGTTCGTCATCCCGTTGACCGTGGATTTTTTTATCGAACCTGAATTCGTTGTCATCGACATCTTGACCATCCGATCGCCGCTGTTACTTATAGCTTCTTGTAGCGACCACATTTGTGCCGATAAACATTAGTTACATCCGCGATGGAAGTTTCATTGAACGCCCGAAAATTCCAACCTGACTCCGACATATTTATTACGATATACTCTATACGTACACTTTGCGTAGAACTCGCGATTATTATTAGCGGTTCGCGATTCGCGATCACAAGTTCGACTTCTGGTCGATGCGTTTTGATGCGCGATACAAGTTCGGGCGATGATTGCTTAAGATGCCGAGGAACTCTGACCGATTATTGCGAACTATTGGACTTGGACCGACGTGTAACGATTCTAACTGACTGTAACGACTGAGTTTTCGTCACGATGATGCTACAGAGGAAAACTATGATGCGGTCTAAGGATGCTAGATCATCGAATTCGCAGAGGAAAGCCTTAGTTCGGAAAGTGAAGGAAATGGTCGTCGTTGTTAATTGGCTAATTTTGTGTGTGTGGTTGGAAAAGGATACTAACTGTCCTTGAGAGAAAGTTGATAGCGGGAAGCATCGTGCGTTAGAAAAACAGATTTCTCGTATCTTTCCGTAATAGGTGATAGATTTAGGGTCTGTTGAGGGAAAGACTATTTGTCCCTTTGGAGAATCTTAGCTAAACATATCCTAAGATTTATAGCGGATCTTTAGGCTAGCTGAAAATATTCCATGAGGATGTATCGATATCTGGCAATCGTGTTATCCGAAGAACAGAGTCTTTGTGTAGCGAGCCATGGGACAGAAACCGTTGGAAAGTTTATTGTCGAGTACCGCTACAGGATCAAACACGCGGCCTAATCGCGATACTTAACGAACCGTGTAATTCGCTGTTTAAAATAGACACGTACAAAATATTCGGTGTAAAAATATTCGTTGTTGCTTGCTTTAAGCGGAACAGATTGGCGCTATAAATTCAAAAATAATGCCTGAAATTAGAATGGACACGTGCTAGGCGCGAGCATCTATTTGGAAAAAATTGCACAAGCAGACCCAGAGACCTATGTAGCAACGTCTCTGATCGCTTTTTTTTTATAGTTGTGCAATGAAAGGTTCCAGATGCCCGTGGCCCTGGGATTACCGCGGGCATTATCGTTCAAAGCTCGAGTATTAATGTCACACGCACGCGCGCGCGTCGCGTATGTAATAGATACGCGAAACGCGGTCACGATTCTTCGCAACTTTTATTATAGAAAGACACTGAATTTCGTTTAATTTGCAGTCTCGACGAGGATGGCGAACACGAATAATTGCCGTTTGTGAGTGTCGGCGCCGAGAGAGAGGATCGCGGAAGGCCACGTTCGTGTCGGTACGAGAGAAGAGCAGCGATGTCGGTGAAGCTTCGAACGAGATCCGCCCAGCCGGCTTCAAGTGTTCAGCTTCGTCCCTCGGGATCGACCAGCCTGTAAAAAAGTTGGATGATCGTTGTTCGACAAAGAGGATCAAAAAGAAACGGAGGGCCGTGGTACTGCCTTTTCGTAGCGGAGTAGAAAACGCGAAGAGATATTTTGGTAAATAGTATCTTAGGTAATTGGTGAAACGGTATCACGGCGCGAGACTCGACTAGTCGCTATCGGCGATAAAACCACGTTAAATGGTCGCATTTGGCGCACAATTTCTACTTTTCTCGCGCGTGCCGTGTACCGTGTTCGTTATTTGCTCGTGAAAATCATCGACGATTTCCGAGTAAGAAGCTGGAGAATCGTGAACGTTCTCCGGTCGAATTTAACCACGATTAAGCGACTCGTGGTGAAAGTGAAGTGTCTCGGTCTTGGTGACATGGCCTTCATGATGAAGAAGAAGAAGTACAAATTCTCGGTGGAGGTGAACCTGGAGGAGCTGACCGCGGTGCCATTCGTGAACGCAGTGCTGTTCGCTAAGCTCAGACTTCTCGACGGTGGATCTTTCGTCGATCATTCGACCAGGTAAGCGATCACCAAAATTTCCCTTCGTTCTCTCGTTTCTACGTTCGCGATCGTTTCTCGCGAGTACGAAGAATCCTCTTGGTATTCGCGCGAGATGCTACTGTCGCGTTAGGAGGAGAAGTTTCGCGACGATGATCACGATCGATTCGTTTCGATCCGCCAACACGTTCCAGCGACCCAGTGTCGTAGTTGGAAGTACGAACGGCGATCGTGTCTAGTCCAACGGACGGCGAATTTTTTAATTCGCGATACAATAACGATCGCGTGTCTGTGCAGCCGTATAGCTCGTTAAAATTACTTTTTCAACCAAGTCCGGAGAGTAATTACTCCGTAGGAGGCGGTTGTTTCGCGCGAGAACGAAAGTTGTTCCAAAGCGTTTCGTCTGATCTTCGCTTAATCTTTTTTTGAAAGCTCGTTTACGTGCTCAACGACCACAGGCATAATTCGGTTCTCGAGAAAAAAAAACTACTTTTGCCGCATGTTCTTTTCTCTCATTTTTCCATACGGTAACTTCGTTATATCAGAGAGCGTAGAGGGTTGAAATTTAACGAGCGAACAAACAATTATCGCGAAATAACCGGTGTGCCGGTTGAACGAACGTTCGCTACTGTGCACCGTTGAACAACGCGTTTTACGACGCGTCGAATGACACGCTTACGTTTGCCGCGAAGAAGCTCGCGTACGTCTATTGGATTATTTAGTTTCCGTACTTGAAAGGACAGCTACGAAAGCGTGACGGAAACTCGTTTAAACCGTATCGGCCGTGAATGAAACGCGTGCCGTGGACGCGGATTAGTAGCTCTCTTGAACGAAGCGTGGATCATCCGAAACTCGGTAACAAGGTTCCGCGCGTGTTGCGATTCTTTTTTATTCTTAATTACCAAGTAACGTTGACACTTTATCGAGCAAACGTGGAATACGAAGAAGCTGACCCAGCGCCGCAAAGTCTCCATATACCTTGGCATTTCGCCATTTTACCAACTTGGATATGATTAACGAGCTCTAACGTAGAACGTACAATACGTACTTTGCTTCGTTAATGATAGGGGGAATACGTACGTACGCGGTAAGGGGTTTTAGCTAGTATCGAACGAGCGATTTTCTGGATCCGCCTCGATTCGCTACTTCCTAGCAAGGCGAAAAATAGTACGGTGTTTACGATGTAGTCGCTTTTAAATAGCTGACAGTTGCGTGTGTCGACCATACATTTCGCCCACGCCCGCCAACTCTAAATTCGTCCTGGAATTTCTCTAGCGTTCTCGGAACTCGCCCGGGATTTCCGAATCGACTAATCAAATTTCTCCGACGATCGTCACCGCGATAGACCTTGAACGAGCGAAAAATTCGATGGTACTCTCCCAAGGAGAAAGAAACCTTTTGCAGTTTATCCACAGCTGGCTTTTCTTTTCTTCCCGTTCGATGAACGTGCCTTGACTGCCCCGAGTACCTACGCGCTTTGCGTTCTACTTTTGCTTCGCAGAAACCAGAATTTCAGGGGAATCTTTTACCATTTCGTTTGCACGATCTCTCGAAATCTTTCGCGTTATTCAGATGCATCAGCTACTTCCATCGAAACGTACATCGAACGTAATAAATTTCGTAGCAGCGTAGGATGGATCGCGATCGATCGACTTCGAAGAAGCTCGTAGAAGCGTCGATAAATTTTCGTGGAAGAACCGTACCCGTAGCTAGCTACGCGTTGGCATCTGATCAGGTGTTACAAAGCAACAGTTGGCTGATAGCGGTAGCGCTACTCGACGATTGTTTTCATCGCGCCTGTCTAACAATAGATCGTTTTCTAACGTGGAACGTTAGTTCGGGTAATTCGATTATTAACCAAGACGAAGAGAAGAGAGAGAGAGAGAGAGAAGAATCGTCCGCTTGTTGAATCTATCTCGCTCGATATTTTTTAATTTAGTAAAAAACCCAAACTCAGGGCGAAAACTGAACAGAATCGCCAGAGCGACGTAACGCGTACATACGCGCAACTGGCAACCCGAAGGAACGTTCAAACGCGACGTTAACGTTTCCTCCGGGCCGTGTCGCGACGGTATATCGATATCTTCGCTTCGCAGACACGATTCGATCGTGTTCTACCTTCCGTCCATTGTCGGTCGATATCCAGCTGCGATATTTCACCGAGCTCGGAGTGCACGGTATTTACATCGAGCGCGCGTTATGCACGACATCGTGTATTCTCTTGGGAATAGAACGTTCCCGCACGTGTGCAAGATGCACGCGACATAAATTCCAGCGGCCGTACCGGTTCGTAAACCATATTTCGTCGGTAGCCGCGGTCTGCCGGACGCGGACGCGCGTCTCGTTTAAACCAGCGCGGACGTTTCACGGCAAAGGATCGATTTTTCCCTTCTTCTCTCTCTTCTCTTTATGCGTATCTGGTTTATTTAGCTTGCGTAAAACATCCTGTCGTCGTACGATGTACAACGTAATACGTAGACGCGCTAGTAAATTTGTTAGCGGATCGTTTCGAAAGAAACAAGTTGAAACGAAGGGAATTCCTTATTACCCTCGACGACGTGCTTACCGCGACTTTTGGCGCTTGGTTCCAGAGACGCGTAGCAACTTGCTCGAAACTTTAAACGAGAAAAGTAAATCACAGATGAACGTGTTTTGCTCTGCGAACCGTTCGCTCCTAAACGCCGAGAGGCGCATAGGACGATTAGGTTTTCCATAGCGGAGAGACAACGTTCGAGGGAATCAAGACTGTACGAAGAAGAAATTAGCACAGTCTGCGGAGAAGAATACGTCAAAAACTCCTGTTCCGGATTATCTATAATCCCCCGACACAGGGTTGAATCAACGCGAATCGTCGTTTCGCGGCTATGAAATCAGCGATGAAAATGAGTCACGTACGGAGTATATTGTTCACCGTTGCAACTTTTCAGACCGTCTGTCTTCCCCTTCGTCCCTCGCTCGTGACGCCTTTGAAAATACCGGAAGCTGGCTGGATCGGTGCCAGAACGGTCTCTACATCTCTGGCGAACGACCCGATCGTTTTATTATTTCGCGATCGGTGTTCGTTCGCATAGCTTTCCCATTTTTTCGCCATATAAACCTACCGCAGCTTGGGCAATTTTTCGCGAAACGAGCCAACTTTGGCATTTTCCGTGGCGACGCGACTCAACTCCAGTCGATGTCGCAACGATCAACGATTAATTAAACCAGCACGTTTTTGGTCTTTTTTCCGATTGACAAGTTTAATCGCGGCAATCGGCGATAGCTGGGCACGTAATTAACCGCTTGCTCGCCGCTAGTCCCAGAAGCGTGCGACCTCGAGGTGATCTCGATCGATTCGCTCGACTTTCCACCGAGTTTTCCCGAAAGAACCAGAGAAGGGAAGGAAAGGAGGGGGATCTCGGAACGCTCTCGCGAGAACGCGTCGCGCTGCCGATGTTTCTGCGATAGGATTTTCTGGGAAAACAGAAGCAACGGTATTGCGGAAAAGCGGCGTTTCCGGCGATCCCTCGTCGATCGATCGGGTCTAAGCGACGAACGTAAACTGATCATCACGCCTTAACGAAATTGCCGAATATCAACGAGATACATCGCGTGTCTTCCCTCCTAGCGTCTTTTTGGTTCCCTCGATGGAAATTCCTCGTGAAAATCCTGTTACCTCGATATCTCAATATCTGGAAGATCTGCAGCTTATTCGCAATGGATGCTATTCCGCACGGTTGATAACGAGATCTTGATCTAATTGTATACAAGTTTCTTGTCGATTCTTTGATCTCTCTACGGAAAATGATGCAAAGTAGGCTAGGGAATCCGTGTTTTTCAGCACTCTCTAGCGTTCGTGAAAAGACAGCGTATCCGCGAAGAAGTCATTACAGGAGAAACACTGTTCCTTTGGATCTATGTCAGTGAGAACGATTTAAGTTTCTAAGAGATTTCTCTCCGCGTTCCTGCCGTGTGTAACCCTCTCGATTTCAGCCGGTGACGAATCCTTGGCTACCGTCCATGTTGTTACATCTCGCGAACTAACGAAAATTAGCGGCGGGAACACTTTCGATCGTCGATTTTACGCTATCTTGCAAGACGAATCTCTCGAATATCCGAATCGTTCGTTTCCAACGACGCTGTCGCTTCAAGAAACAACATCTCGCGCTTATAGTTCCTAAACACATTTTCAAACGTTATAAATTTTCCAAAATTTCGGCTTGGACCAGGGTTTCGACGATTTCGTTTTCCAGTTTCGTTTTCCAGTAAAGGAAACTCGAACTGGCCGAAACGGGCGTACGAGATAGCGTAATCGCCGAATCGAGGGGAACAGCGTTACAACGAACGACTAGCAAGGCCGATACGATTCATCGTCGGAGGGAGCGGTGCGCGCAATCAGATCGAGATAAGCGATTTCGATTTAACGTCAGAGACGGTCGGCTGGTTTCTCGGCAACAAGGTCTACCTTGAACCATGACCTTCCTCGGAATCGGCCGCCGAGCACCGAATAAAAGTCTGGAAATAGTGCGTCCACGACGATCGGGCAACGAGATTGACGGCGAATTCACGATGGAAAGCGGAAAACGGCACGAATTTCCCGGTTTCGAATGCGTCGAGACGCGGAAGTCCTATCCACTTTAAAATTTAGCAAAATATCCGCTTTAAGAGATCGAAAGCGCCTCGAAACGTCTCGCATACGATATCGTAGAGTTTTTCTCGCTAATTTCTCGACGGTACCGATCGATGGTCGGTCGATGAAGCGACTGGATAAATAACGAGACTCGAAAGCCGCGCGAAAGAAAAGCGACAGTGGGAAACGTCGAAAGAGAAACGCGATTCTCTCGCCACCGATAGCGTTAGAAAGTACGGCGATTCGTTCTCGTCCTGATTCGCGAGGCGCGAAAATTGAAAGAGAAAAGTTTGGTCGGTCGATGGGTGAGGAGGAAAGGAATCGGGGAACGTGCGAACCAGTAGTTGATCGTGTCGAGGAGAGGCACGGAGCAAGGGAGGTGGAAAGAGACGGAGATGAAACGAGCGGAGGT